CCGCCACTCTCCAGTTGCTGTGGAGCTCGCGCCTCTCCCATTGGCCGAGCTCCACTCTGCCTCTCCGCCCGCCCCCACAAAACCCTGTCATTGCCCCCACAAAACCCCGCCGCGCCCGCGCCGTCCCTCAGCACCGCCAACTGCAGCGGTTGGTTCCCGCCGCTGTCCTTCCGACGCTGCCATGGAGACGTATCCCCGCCCACGACCCGAAGTCGGCGTCCTCATTGGCCAGAAGCGCCGTAACTCGGGGTTGGGTCAGGTTATTCGGGTCCAAGTGGAGAGAAGGCGGGCTCCGCCTGCTCCCAGAACTTGGGTGTGATTGGCTTGCCTTGGGAGGGCTCATCCTTCCATTGGCTGAGGCCTCCGCCCGTCACCAAAAGTCGCGACCTCCCTATTCTTTCTCTCCTGTGAAACCTTCGGCCGCCAGAGGCAGAAGGCCTGGGAAGGCTGGAGGGATGAGTGCGCGCGCACCTCCGTGCCCCGCCCCGCCGCCCGGAGAGGCTGCGGTTGCCAGGGCGACAAAACTTCATTGACAACCCTGTCCCGGCACAAAGGGCTCTCACTCTCCCTCCTGGATGACCTTCTCTCCCCCCAAACACCCCATTTAATTTCGGGAGTACCCACAATAACAGGTCGGAAAAGGAGACAGAGAAGCTTTGGAGAAAGCCCTGACTCAAGAGAGCCTNNNCCAGTCTTAGAGGCAAACATAATTAGCAATGCATCCTAATTACGCACGGAATAATAAGCTCCGCGCTCGGAGCAGGTGGGCTTTGTTTGGTCGACGGCTGTATATCCTGCACCGAGTAGGTGGTTTCTCCGCGCCGTCGCTCTGTGTCGTTAGGGAAGTGGCTTGCCCTCTCTGGGCCTCAGGCTCGCAATTGTAAAACAAAGACCACACAGCTCCTTCGCTGAGGGGGTCCTCCTAACACCTTCCCAGGTGTCCTCCGTCCGTGCTTCCAGCCTCCCACCCTCCATTATACTATTCCTTTCTCTGAGACACACCCAAACCCAGGCACTTCACCCCCCTCCCCCCCAAAAGAATGGCCTCAGCTCCAGGGGAGAGAAGCAGCCTCGGCCCGCAGAAAGGACTCTCCGCAAAGCCGAGCTGTCCAGAACAGCCCCCTTGGCATGCCTGAATCTTGAGAGATCTACCCCTTCCACTCGCGGGTGTACACCTCGCAGGAACTCTGGCAAATGTGAACAAGATAAGCCCAAGACTGCTCCGGACAGCAGCGTTGGTAACGGTGAAAAACTGGAAACGGCTTAAACGTCCATCGCATGAGGCCTGGATCAATGGGTCGTGGCGTGTTCATACCGGGGACACCGTGCGGCAGTGACAGGGGGCACGGGCACCCACAGCACCCACTGCTGGTGGCAGACGTCTCCATAGTCAAATGCAGAAGTTGTGAAACACAGAAAACAAGGGTTGTGTGTGGATCCATGTAACTGTGCACAGACGTGCAAGGGTGTGACAGAGGGGCCCTAATGGTGACCCCAGGGGAGGGGCGGGAGGCATGCAATCAGGAAAGCTACAGGAGACACTGCTCTGTCATTTTTTGTCTGTTAAGCCCGGAGGTGGAAACCATAAGGTCACTGTGTTCACTACCTGTTCTTTTTCTATGTGTCAGAAATATTTCATCATACAAACCAAAGTTTGACCCCACTCCCACCCCAATTCCACTTCCAGGCTTTTTAGTCTAAGGAAATAACTGGACAAGTGTTAAAATATTTATAAAAATGTGAGTCTGGGCATTGTTTAAAAAAAACAAAAAACACCTTGGGAAAAGCCTGACTGTCCAACAATAGAGGATTGGTTGGGTCAAGTACAGCATCTCCGCCACTTTACAAATGGCCTTGTGAGGGGTGGGCTATTACCCCATTTTACAGATGAGCAAAGAGAGGCTGCCGGAAGGGCAGTAAGTGGTCATCGGACTCTCAGCCTCTGGGCTTTATCGCACACACAGGATACAACTGGTTCTCAGCCTTCAGAGAGCAGCACCAGGGGCACCNACCTCTGGGCTCTATCGCACACACAGGATCCAACTGGTTCTCAGCCTTCAGAGAGCAGCACCAGGGGCACCTCAGAAGAGGTGGCCCAGCGGCAGCCGGCAGGTCACCTGGCAGCCGGGTAGAGATGCAGAATCTCGGACGCAGGGCTGCAGTGCCCTGGCTGGCTGGGAGCTCAGTCGGTTAGACCATTGTCCTGATACGCCAAGGTTGCCAGTTCGATCCCCAGCCAGGGCCCAGACAAGACTCAACCAGTGAATGCATAAATAAGTGGGACAACAAATCCATGTTTCCCTCTGTCTCTCTCTCTCCCCCTAAAAATCAATAATTTTTTTTTTTAAATGGAGCTGCCAGCCCTGGCTGGTGTGGCTCAGTGGTTAGAGCATTGGCCCAAGCACCAAAGGGTTGNTATATATATTTTTAAATGGAGCTGCCAGCCCTGGCTGGTGTGGCTCAGTGGTTAGAGCATTGGCCCAAGCACCAAAGGGTTGCAGGTTCCATCTCGGCCTCTGTCCAGGTGGGTGCAGGAGGCAGCCAACCCATCCGTGTGCCTCTCTCACATCGATGTTTCTCTCTCTCCCTTCTCTCTCCTTTCCCCACTCCCCTTCCCTTTCACTCTCTCTGAAATATAATGGAAAAAATATCCTCAGGTAAGGGTTAACAACAATAAAAAATGGAGCTGCCCTTATATATGATCCAGTGATTCCACTTCTGGGTATATATCCAAAGGAAATGAAATCAGGATTTTGGAGAGATACCTGCACCTCCCCCCCATGTTTATCGCAGCATTATTCATAATAGCTAATATACAGAAACCATGCATAACCCATGGACACAGACAATTGTGCGGCGGAGGCCTGGGGGGCAGCAGGAGTGGGGTGGTGGGGGACAGAGGGGACAAAAAGGGGACATCTGTAATACTTTTAACAATAAAGATAAATTTTTAAAAAAGAAAAAAGGACATGGAACCACCTAAACGTCCCTCAGTGGGTGAATGTATAAAGAAAATCTGGTTAATAGACACACTGAAATATCACTCAACTCTGAGGAAGACGAAAACCCTGACATTTGCAACTAGATGGACCTGGAGGGCATTATGCTGAGTGAAACAAGTCAGACCAAGAAACACAAATACGGTAGCAGTACCACTTATATGTGGAATCTAAAAGAATATTGAACTCACAGAAACAAAGAGTGGAATGGTGGTTACCAGGGGCTGGGGGGCTGGGAAAATGGGGAGATGTTGGTCGAAGGGCACAAATTCCCACCTATACGATGAGCACATTGTGCGGATGCCGTTTACATTACAGCATGGTGATCATAGTTAATAATAATAGAGTGTGTATTTCAAATTTTCTAAGAGAGTAGATCTCCAGTTTTCCCCCTACACACACTAAAAAGAAAGGGGTAACTATGTGAGGCAATGGATGTGTTCATTAGCTTGATTGTGGTAATAATTCCACAGTGTATACATAGATCATCACATTGTACAACCTAAATATATACAATTGTTTATTGTCAATCATAACTCAATAAAAGTGGGGGGAAAATAAATGGTGTGAAGGGGAGTTGTCTCTCTGTTTTCATGTGTTACTTTTGTAATAACAAAATGTATATAATAATAGAATAAAATATAAGTATTACACAGTATATGTTGTTATACATGTATCTCCATCTATATATACCTATGCATATGCATATGCACACATACACACATCTATCTATATCGTCATCACCATCACCATCATCACCACCACCATCATCACCATCACCATCACCATCATCACCATCACCATCATCACCATCATCACCATCATCTCCATCATCACCATCATCACAAATCATCATCACCATCACCATCATCACTATCAACACCATCACCATCATCACCATCATCACCACCACCACCATCATCACCATCACCATCACTATCAACACCATCACCATCATCACCATCATCACCATCATCACCACCACCACCATCATCACCATCACCATCATCACCATCATCACCATCATCTCCATCATCACCATCATCACAATCATCACAATCATCATCACCATCACCACCACCACCATCATCACCATCACCACCACCACCACCATCACCACCATCACCATCATCACCATCATCATCATGCTCAAAACTCTACAATGGATTCACACCTTAGTACCAGCCTCCAAGATCACCCTCAGCCACCACCTCCAGTTCTAGGATTCACA